TAGTGTCCTTAAGAATTTAAATGGTTGCAATAAGTCCTGCACCACAAGATCAATGAACTGACTTTACTCTTTCTTTAGGAGTGATTAAGGCGAAATAATAAATTGTTGGGGTTAAATAAATTTGTTTTAGTAAATAATTAGTAATAGAATATAAAAATATTAATATATAAATTAATTTTAATATATTAAGTAATAAATATCAATTATTTTGTCAATTATCAACTAATAATTATAGTTATTAATTATTTTTAATAATTAAATGAAACAAAACTAATAATTTAAAAAAACTGCATTTAAAAGTTTGTATAACCCCCCAACCTAGCAATTTGTTGTGTAGCTGTGAACATTTCCTTTTGGGTTTTTCTTTTTCCTGTTGAACTAACTAGGACTGAGTACTAAAAGGAGTGAGTGTCGTTAGCACTCATCTTTTTACAACCACATTAATACATTATATCCTTAAGTCACACGTATAAATGCTTCCCAAAAGATCTTAATTTGGGGTTTCTATAAGAGAAAGAAGGACCAAAATGAGGAGAATAATAGATGGATACAATTTTAAGGAAGCTTCACCTGTTTAAACATAATTTATCATCATTTGCCGATGTGAAGCTTCCCTAAGGTGCATCATGCATGGTCATAGTCTTGGTCATGGTCAAAAGTTCTTTCACTGTTGATACACGTCTAATATTTTTGTCCTACAAGTAAGCTACCACCTTCACGTGGCCCTTTTTTGGGTAGTTCTAAATTTCCTTTTTCCTTGTTTTGACCCTATTTTGCATTCCAATTGTCAAACCAAGGGAAAACCTCTTGCTCACGGAACAAAAACTAAGGGAGTGTTTGGTTTAGTTTCTTAGAAAACCTCTCTTTTTAAGATTTTACAAGGATATTTTGATATTTACACATTTTAAAATTATAACAAATAAATGATCAAGTTAGTATTTTTTATTCAACACAATTCCTAACTTATACTATTTTCTTTTCATATTTTTTGATAGAAAAAAGCATCATTAAACATTTTTTATATAGAAGTCAGTTAATAACTTTTCTTATATAATTTATTACCAAACAAAAAAAAGATTAATAGCACAACAAAATTCTAATAAAATTTTATTAAAAAATTATTAATTTTTTGTACAATACTTTGTTAGTGAAATTAGTTACCAATCAAACATGTCTCTTCAAATAAGAGAAAAGGGATAAAGAAAGAAGAGAGATGCCGGGCCAGAATGCTATAAAATAAAAATATATGCAGTAGTTAGGCCCAAAATGAATTTGTAAGTCCAAGACCATTTCTGTTACTGTTGCCTTGCACCGTGCCTGGGCCACTGCCGGCTATAAAAGTATCCAGTGGTAGGTCCAGAATGAAATTCAAGACCAAGATCGTCTCAGTTGACTGTAGCCTAGCAGCAGCTGCAGGCCTCGGATGCACATGTTCATCTTCTAAAGGGAAAT